ATTAGAATAAATGTCAACATTTCTGAAGGCCATAGGGAAACTGTATTATTTGTTTATTTGATGGTTGAGTTTTTGTTTTGATTTTGTTTTGTTTTCAGGGATTTTTTTTTTTTGAAACAAGATCTCTCTGTAGCCCCAGTTGGTCTGTAACTCACTATGTTGACCATGCTGACTGATCTCACAGAGCATCTTCCAGAAAAGTTGAATAGGAATATATTAGAATAAATGTCAACATTTCTGTAGGCCATAGGGAAACTGTATTATTTGTTTATTTGATGGTTGAGTTTTTGTTTTGATTTTGTTTTGTTTTCAGGGATTTTTTTTTTTTGAAACAAGATCTCTCTGTAGCCCCAGTTGGTCTGTAACTCACTATGTTGACCATGCTGACTGATCTCACAGAGATCTGCCTGCCTCCCCTGAGAGCTGTGATTAAAGGTATCACTACAGCCTTATTTTTGTTTTTGAGACAAATCTTACTACATAGCCTAGGCTAGCCTTGAATTTGTAATCCTCCTGTCTCAGACACCTGAGGCATGTGCCACCATGCACAATGGGACTATGTTTCTATGGCTTTATAGGTGGTTCCAAAACTCAAGAATTAATTCACAGTATGACATCCAACCAAATTCATGAGTTCTTTCTGTGCCTGGCTAATTTCACTTAGTGTAATGTCCTCCAGGTTTAGCCATATTATTGCAGTGATAAGCTTTGCTATATATTATGGCTAAAGTGTGTGTGTGTGTGTGTGTGTGTGCACACACACGCATGTGTGATGCAGATACATAGTATATATACCTATGGAGTATATATATATATACATATATATGGACTATACATATATATCATAATTAAAGAAGCATATTATGCCCAAATGAGACCTTTACCTTTCTTTGTGTGTATCTTCCGGAAAAAAAGTGTCATTCAGTGTCTGGCCATTCAACACTTTGGTGAATTACTATTAGATATGCATCAATACAAACGGATGCTAAATCCTTTAGTCCTAGGCAACCTTGTGCCTCTGATCCTGTTTTTGGAGTCTGAGGAAAAAACAATAGCGACTGTAAGAGCTTTGATATTCCTTCTTTAATTTAAAAACATCACAGCATTTATGGGACAGTAAATCAGTCTTCATTGGTCTTATTCTACCTTTCAGGCGTGTAGATGTACAGTAGGCATCTGTATCTCACAACTAAAGTGTTCAACATCATATCTGCTTCAAAATTACAATTTTGAACTTCTGGTTCTCGACATCTGTAACAATCTTGTGAGTAGCCCTCTGTTTTTATAATCATAAGAGTTTCAGGAAAAACTTAAGGGATACACAAAGTGATGAAAGGTGCAGTGGAGAAAGGGGTGATCTTGGAGAAAGAATGTGAAGAAACAGTGAGGGCTTGAAATGAAGAGAATTTTCCACTTCTTCAACACTGATCATTCATCTGTCTTCTTTCTCCTATGTTGAACTATGGGTGGCTATAAACTTAGATAGGGCATTTCACATCTTCAAAAGGAAAATTATTTTGCCATCAGCTCATGAGTTGGTCCTCTGAAACCCAGTATGATCAAGTATAGATAAGTGGGAATGAAAGGATTCTAATCACAAGTTAGAAACACAAATTGGGTTGGCAATACAACTTTGGGTTCCAGAATGATATGATAAACAGATTAATCCTTGCCTGTGGCCAGAGGAGTGTACTTCACACATAAAAATCCCCATGTTTAAAATTGGTCTTATTTTATACTAGCAATTGAGTAATTAACTTTTCTTGCTTTGAAACTATTCTCATGGAAGCAAATATGCTTTATCAACAACTAAAAGCATTTTTTCCTTTTTATTCTCAGCTTTCTTCTTATAAGAGTTACATTAAAGAATTAATATCGGATACCTCAGGGTTTCTGGGGAGCTCTCAGATCTTTCTGAAGAAAGGAGCAATTATATTAATAGGTAAATAAATTTAATTCTTTCTTAATTTGTCCTTGAAGGTACAGAATGCAGTTGAAGCTATAAATATTCATTAAAATATTTGCAATTTTTTTCTTTGATTGACAACACTTGCTGTGCTGGTATAGATGATGAAGAGAGGTTAATGATCACAGTAGAGTTCTATTTTATAATACAAAATAAGTATTATCTTATTAAATTATTAAACAAAATATGTTCAACAGGATGTTGAATCCATTAAAATCCAATGTTAAAATCAATATCTAGCCAGGCATGGTGGCGCACACCTTTAATCCCAGCACTTGGGAGGCAGAGGCAGGCGGATATCTGAGTTTAAGGCCAGCTTGGTCTACATAGTGAGTTCCAGGACAGCTGGGGCTACAGGGAGACCCAGTCTCAAAAAAAAAAAAAGAACAACAACAAAAACATCAATATCTAAAGAAGATTAATTTAAAACTTTGTATAAATATCATGTTCAGCACAACCTAAACACCTGTAGCCACAAACTATGACAAATGGGGAAGAGATATCAGATGCAGTGAAGTTTTAAAACAAATGAATGTGGGAGAAGTCTAGGAAGACTCTAGGAGAAGACAGCCAAAGTTCTAGGCCTTGGAAAAATCTGACCAAAGTTTTCCCTCTCCTATGAGAGTCTCACTGTGAAGTTAAAAATGAATAATCCTATATTTTGGAATTCCAAGTTTGGTGATCAGATCTTCCCTTGCTCCTGTTCAAAATCACAATATCAAGAACAGGAAGGAATGAAGAAACTTACAGTCATATAAAACTGTAGAGAGGAGGTGGCCAGTCAGAGTACATGACAGACTGAACCACGCTGAGCACTACGGCTGAGATCCGTGTTCCTCACAGAGAAAAATGAGAGAGAGAGAGAGAGAGAGAGAGAGAGAGAGAGAGAGAGAAAACCTGTGGTGAGAACTTTATTTCAAACCAGTACCATAGTTTCCTTGATATATGGAGCTTTGCACAAACAAATCTCTGTATGAAATCCCAAATAAGTCACTTTTTAATAAAAATAATACAGCATTATTTTTCTATAGATATACCTTAAGGAAAAATATAGAAGAGAAACATATTTTAGAAAATATTTTTACAGAACAGATGAGAATTGTGGCAAATAAATTCATAAATCTAAATTTTTTTTAAATAAAGAGCTAAAGTATCAACAGGCAGATGTGGCAGTACATACTTTTAAAGCCAGCACTCAGGAGGCAGAGGCAGGTGGACCTCTGTGTGGTCCAGGCCAGCCTGGTCTACATAGAGAGTTCCAGGCCAGCTAGGGTTACAGAGAGACTCTGTCTCAAAAAAAAAAAAAAAAAAAAAAAAAAAGATGTGTAAAGTATCTAAAAGTATATAGGACATATATAATGAATCAGGATCATGAAAAGTAAGTTTTCAAAGTATAGGGGGGAAATGTGGGAAAAACATAATTATCATGGAAGAGGAAAGCTCCACTGTAAACAGCAAAACAGAAAATATATACACTATTGACACTAATAAATCAATCGGTGACAAGGAGAACAAAGGAAAGAAAGCCCACACAGGAGACTTACTGTAATTCCTTAAAATATACATTTTAGATCTGCCTTTGCATCTCTGGGCGGCATGGCCACCAGCTGCCCTAGACCAGCATCTTTCCAGGACCCAGCTCCCAGGCCAGTACAACCCCCAAATTCCAGAGGCCAAAATCTTTCCTGGAGGGATCCAGACTTTAGAAGAAAGTCTGAGAGCATCTGATCCTCATCTGACTTGGCCCTCTCTTGGAACTCCTGAAGACAAAAGCAATCTGGCCACTCTAATATAAAATCAAAAGAGAACCAGAAGCTTAGACAAAACAGCTTTTCATGCCCAAGAAGTAAACCAAAAGGCATACAAACTTCACAAAAAAAGCAGACCTAAACTTGAAGGCTTGAGTCTCACACAAGAATCAGAAGAGAAATCCAAATGTCAAAATCACAGAGAAAAAATATTAACATGAAAAGCCAAAATAACATATCCCCACCAAATACCAATAGTCCTCTAGAGAAGTACAATGAGAACCCACTATATATAATGCAGGACATGGACTCAAAAGAACAATTATAAACATGATAAAAGGATTCAGTGATTTTAAAGAACACACAAATCAAAGAACTGAAGGAAGATAGGGATAAACTTCTGAATGAATTCAGAAAAGAGCTAGAAATATTGAACACTACTCAGGCTGAAATGAAAAAGGAAGTGAAACACTCATTAAGCCCGTTAGAAACCACAGGAGAAAGGCTTACCCATAGGGTGAATGAAATGGAAAAGAGAGTATCAAGACTGGAAGATAAAGTGGATGAACATGAACTAGACCACTCAAGCAAAGTTTCTGAAAAAATTAAGAAATCACAAGAATGGAATATGCAGGAATTGTGTGACACTTTGTAGGAATTGTGTGACACCATAAAGAGACCAAACTTACGAATCATAGGCATACAGAAAGGAGAAGAATCCCAAAACAATGACATGGACCAAGTCTTCAACAGACTCATGGAAGAAAATTTCCCAAAATTAAAGAAAGACATGCCCATACAAATACAAGAAGCATATAGAACACCAAAGAGACAGGACCAGAAAAGAAACTCTCCATGGCACATCAGAGTAATAACACTACACATACAAAACAAAGAGACAATACTGAAAACTGCAAAAGAGAAACAAGTCACATATAAAGGAAAACCCATTAGGATTACAGCTGACTTTTCAGTGCAAACTATGAAAACCAGAAGAGCCTGGACCAAAGTATTCCCAGTGTTAAATGACCACAGATGCCAACCCAGATTACTATATCCAGCCAAAATGTCTATTATAGTTGAAGGGGAAAGAAAAATCTTCCATGACATAAATAGGCTGAAGGAATTCATGTCCACAAAACCAGCCCTTCAGAGAGTTCTGGAAGCAATACAAAGAGCTGAAGAAAGGAAGGACTATACCCAAGGGGTTGAGGAAAGAAATCCAATGAAGGTATAACTGTGGAAAAGTACATCTATATTAAGAATGTAAACAGAAATAAAAATAACAGAATTCAATACTCATCTTTTATTAATAACTTTAAATATTAATAGACTGAACTCTCCAGTCAAAAGACAGAGACTAGGTGAATGGATTAAGAAACAAAACCCATCTTTTTGTTGTCTGCAAGAAACTCATCTCACCTTCAAGGACAGACACTATCTCAAAATGAAAGGATGGAAAAAAATATACCAAGCAAATGGTACTAAGAAAAAAGCAGGTGTACCAATTCTAATATTGGACAAAATAGACTTTAAAACTAATCAGAAAAGACAAAGAGGGCCACTTCATTTTGATCAAAGGAACAATGAATCAAGAAGATATTACAATCATGAACATATATTCACCAAACTCTGGCGCACCCAACTTCATAAAAACAATACTACAGGACTTTAAGACCCAGATTAATCCCAACCTGGCATCAAACTAATGACAATTCTCCTGCCTCAGACCCCCAAGGGCTGCCATACCTGTTAGGAGATAACTCTCTATCTTAGTTGCTTGACAAGAGCAAAATTAATTCCCCTCTGAAAAAAGAAACCATAATGTTCAGAGAGTCAAATGACACAAAATTTTATATATAATAACCTGCTTTTAATTTAAAACATACAAGGAAAAATGAATCAACAGAGTTTGGGATATAGCTATTAAAATATGCATATGAATTTAAACATAACTAATATATTCAAAAGATTAATGAGGTGAAATTAAGAGCTCAGTGGATAGAATTAACAGATTACAAAGAACTTGAAAGGGAATTAATTAAATATGTCAAAATAAAAATTTGGCCACAAGATCAAGACTTGAAATAAAAATGGAACTCACGAAAAGAGTGCAGGATATCTCGAGACGTGGCCACAAGTTTTAGTGTGCATTTCAGAAGGAGTGAGCAAGAGAACGAGACAAAGGAACTGTTTGCAGAGATAATGGCCAAGGATTTGCCAAAACTGAAATAAAGCAACAGCAAGAAAGAAAAGATCTAAGTTTGGATAAAAGAAAATAAAACTTTCAAAATTTATATGCAAATAATTGTATGTTTAGAAAATTGGAAAAAATTCAGAAAACTACTCCAGTTAAATCAATCTAGCATGTTTTCTAAAAACAACATCGATATACAAAGATCAATTGGATTTCTATAAATAAGCAGTAATAAATTAGAAAATACACTTCTTTTCACGGTGCTGGAGATTGAACAACAACATTGTATGTGGTGGGCAAGCATTCTAGCATTGGCCTTTATCCCAAACCCCAAATAGAAAATTTTAAATGCCAAATGAAATAGCACCCAAATAAATCAAATACCTTAAAATAAAAGTAAAAATGTAAAAAACTGATACACAGAAAAGCAAACAATGAGAAATGCTTCTAAAATACTCGGGTAAAGGGATATATAATTTTTCATGAATTGCAAGATTAAATACTGTGATAGTGTAAGCTCACCCCAAAGGTATCTGTAGAATTTGGATGTAATCTCAAACAATTCTCACCTGGGATTTTGGTTAAGTATAGGAAATTTAACAAGTTTATTCTAGATTTTATATGAAAGGTTTGAGAATACCCAGGATAAAATGGAAAACCACAAAGTTGAAGGACTTGTACTACTGGATATCAAGACACTTTATTCTTTAAGGCAGTGCCTGGTAGTGTCAAGCTTCACAAACTATTTATTGGTGTGAATGAAAATGCCACCACTTTGGAAAACTGTTTGACACTAAACATTAAAAATAAGTGTAAGAGTGCTGGAGAGATGACTCAGTGGGTAAAATGCATGCATGAGAAGCTGAAATCCCCAGCATCCACCTAAGAAAGCCTGGCATACACCTAGAATCCCAGCATTGGGGAGGTGGTGACAGGCTATCCCTAGGTCTTAATCTCAAGTTCAATGCCAGGCCCTGTCTGAAAATAATAACATAGAGAGCACTTAAGGAAGACACCTATGTAGACCTGCAACCCACACATGCACACACACGTACGCACACCCACACACACACACATACACAAATACACACTACCTGCATACACACCACATGAACATGTACATACATAAATACACACACACACACATACATGCACACACTGAACATAAGCATATCTTCTAGCCAGCAAATCTACTCCAAACCACAATTCAAAATTCCTGTCCAAGAATGTCTATAACATTATCAGTAATAAAAGTCCCAAGAAACTACACAAAAGTCTATTGTCAGCAGGATGGATTAAAATGCTGCATTCATAAGATAGAATATCACGTAGAATGCCATCAGCAAACTCTCCCTGTTTAAAGTCTCATAGTGAATATTTTAGGCTTTGAGCAACATGTGCTGTCATTCTCCAGCTCTTCAGTTCTACTGCCACATGGTGAAAGCAGTCATAGATAATATGTAAACAAAGGCTCCAATAAACATGGCTGTGTTTCAGGGAATCACGGTTCTGCATGTAGCAATGGAAAAACACAAACTGTTGCAACATGAAAGAACACCAATGCATCTCACAACACTATGTTGAGCAAAAGGAGGCAGAACCAAAAGAATGTATTCTGAAAAGTGGAGGAGGTTATTTCAAGGGGCTTGTGGAAGACACCTGGGATACTAATAGTATTCTTTCTAGAGACCCAGATGGTAGCTAAGGTGTGTTCACTTTGTGATCCTTCACTGACACATACAATGCCTTAATTATTAAATAGTAATTGTTTGAAAGTACTAAACAATGGTTTAAGGATTTCGATGTTCTAGCCAGAGCATCAAAAATGTATTTCATAGTTGACTTTGGCATAACTCTCTTTTTACTTTACATATAGGGTATTTGGGAAAAGGCGCAGCACATTTACTACTCAGAGAAGAAATTGATGTCATGCTTGAGGGTAAGAACTAAGATCATAATGAAATCTTTATGTTCAGGTTCAAATAGATTCACTGTTTTGATTTTAGTCACACAGGAGTTTTATAAGTGGGTTCCAGAATGGAAGGTGGTGATGGGTATATGGTTGAGGAAAACCAATGAAAGGACTGCATTAAGAAGCATCTTTTTTCTTTCTTTCTGTTCTCTCTCTCTCTCTCTCTCTCTCAATGTCTTGGTCTCTCAATTTATCTCTTTTATTATCTGAGATCTATCATGTCGGAGCCTTGAGGAGCTACAGGAAATATTTTTTGAGCCTTGCCTATATGACGATATCATCTAGTTGCTGGGCTACCACAGCATATAAACAGAATCCTTTCTTGCAGGCTTTAAATTTCAATGGATTGACTTTATACTTTAGTGGATTGATGCCATTACATTTGGAGAGAAAGAAATGAAAGAGTAATGTTATTCTTTCAAAATGCTTTCATCTTGGGCATCTCTCTTAGCCTCTCTCTCTTGCTTTATCAGGGTTGGAGTTGTAGACAAGTGTGCTAGAAAATAGTGGCTGTCTACCTTTTTTTAAAGTTGACTGTTTTTCAGAGCAGTTTCAGGTTCACAACAAAACTAAGCTGAAAGTTCATGGATTTCCCATGTATTCAGGCAGACTCCCCCCTTACCAGCCTCTCCCACCAGAATGGTCCATTTTTTTTATGACTGAGGTGCCCACTTGACACATCATTATCATTTTTTTCATCCATTCAGTCACTCCCATAATTCAGCACATCTAACTACCTGTTAAATGACAAGAGCTATAATTCTTCCTTCATTTTAAGAGCTTTCTCTTCTTTCTTTCTCCTCTTCTGTTCCTTCTCCTCTCCTTTTCTTTTCTCAGCTGTCCCTCTTCATTCTGTTTCTTTTATCAAAAATTAAAATATGATCCACCCTGTAGTTCACAGTTCTTGGGAGGCTGAAGCAGGAGGATTGCCACAAGTTCAAGGTCATTTATCATAAACATCTTTCCATACCAAAGAATATGCATTGACTTCATTATGTTAAAATACATGTCCTATTTCATTTTCTGATCATCTTACTTTTAAGTAGTTTTGTATTGATACACACTTGGACTGGTTCCAACTTCTTTCATGGTTATGACCATTACAATGTGCACAAACCTCTCCGTGAACATATAGCTGTGCTACTGTGAAAAATGTTCAGCATGTATGTGCTCCATAAATTTCATGATTATTTCCAGTTTACTAGATGCTACTAGTCAAAGAAAAGAATAGGAGAATATGAGAAGAGGGAGATACAGAGAAGGGCCTGGTAAAAGGTGGCAGGGAGGGTCAGGCTTAATGTTGCTTAGACTCTGAAAAAGACTTTGAACTAAGAGTCCCTCTTCTGTTATAGCTATTGAATGAGTGGTCTGGGATGAAGACCCTGTGATCAAGATGTTAGCTGAAAAGACCCATACACTTTTTAAGGAAATAGCTGATAGAATGACCTCCTCCACTGTTCAACAAACCTTCCGAAAATGGTTTAAAATGTTCCACACCACAAAATTGAAGCCCATTTATAACTTGTTCGAGGATCCAACCAGAAATGATATGGGAATTGAAAACCAGAAGACTGATAGAGAAGACCTTAGAACAGAGTGATGAAGACTCTGGAGTAATACAAGAGATTGGAGCAGATCTTAAAAAATAAATGATCCTTCTTTCCCTTATGATGGCCTGAATCTATTTATAGATGCTTTTCTGAAGAATACTAAAAGTTATCACTATTTCTTATAATTCTCTATTAAAATACATAAATCTGAAAATTCTCTCTGTATCTGACAGTAGCCAGAAGCCCTATTTCATGAAACCCTGACTGATGAAACTAAGGTGCGTTTTCATGCTTTCTTGATTCAAATTAGGGAGATAATGCTCCTGTGTTTGTGTTTGTCTTTACATCATATGAAAATATCTCTCATTTCACTTACTGGATTATATGAAAATTATTTCCTTCTGTCTCACAAAACTAAAGGTTCTCAAAAGTCATCATTTCTCACAATTGATGTGTAGTCTAGGAATCACAGTGCCTGACGCCTGATGTACACCCAATAAATATTGGCCAAATGAGTTAAATGCTAATGGAACATATTTCTTTCATGCTTGGATGAAGTTTCCATATACTTATAAGTGCTACCTAATAGAAATAATAAAACAACGGACTATTTTAACTTTTCCCTTAATTTCTATTATTTTATATTACCCAGACATCTCAGACCACATTTTTCAAAACTAAGAAAAATTTCTTTTCCATCTACTAAATCAGCAGGACACCTAAGAGATAGGGCGAATGTTTTTCAAGGACAGTCAATTTCCAGACATTGGAGTCTAGAAATCCATTCCTTTACATGGCAAACTTTACAGACATGTTTAAAGATCTTGTGATGGGGATTGTATGGTAGAGTATCCAAGTGACCCCGATAAAATCACAAATATATTTACATGAAAAAGAATGGAGGTCGAAGAGAAAGATATTTTGCAAGATGATATGAGTCTGACTTTGAAGATGAAAATAGGTTTCATGAGCCAACAAATGCAACTTGAGAAACTAAAGAAAAGACAGCAGTGGATTCTCCCTTAAGCTTCCCGATTCAGTCCATTGAAAATATTTCAGACATCTAATGTTCATAAGTATAAGATAATAAATCCATGATGTTTAATTTGTATTGATAAAGTGGAAATAGAAAATGTACATAAAATACAAATACAAAGCAAACCAAACCCTACCCATAAGTCAATCAATCCATCAGGCAGAACATGGAAACTGTGTAATGGACCTTATACAAATTTTGAGCTTTCGGGGAAAAGCCTGATAGTTATACATTTATATTACTCTCAGAAATTATATTACTCTCAGCCCTCTCCTCTCAGAAATCCCCTTTTTACTACCACCCTACGCAGTAACTGCCTTCATTGTCTTTTCCTCTTCTCTCTCCCTGCTATCCCTTCTCACCCTCTACTGCCTTGATTTCCCCAGGATCTCTGAGTTCTTTCCTCTTTATTTGGCTGAACACTAGGCTTTACCAAAGACACCCATCCAACCTGTATTCCCAGGCCTTCTCTGTGCTCTGAAGAGGAAACAGCATCTCTTCAATAAATTTAGGTGGGGGAAGTTAGGTCTATGAACAGCACACCTAACTTTAGCAAATGGCTATGTTAACTTCAACTTTTAATCTTTTACTGATACTTGCTAGCTTTCCCATTGTTTGTAGGGAAAGGATTGAAATAATTAACATGGCTGTTAAAACCACATAGAGTCTATTATTCGCCAACCTCACGGAGCACTCATCTTTCAGTGTGAACAGGTCCTGCCATGCACCTTCCCTCCATCTCCAGCTACTCAAGCACCATAGGCTGAATCTCCAGTTTAGCAGAGATTCAAATGGGGGTCTACCTTGGGAGTTTGTACCCATGCAATTGCATTTCATTTATTATTTATCACTAGAAGTTATATTCTGTTCATAAAATCTCTCAGAAAAAAATCTGGGCACATTTCTTTCCTGATAAGAATGTACTTCTTGCTCCTGGGATAAAATCCTGACACTTTAACTTGGCATACCCTTCTTCTTCCAGCATTGATTACTCCTCTAGATCAATATCTCTACGTATCACTTAGTAGATATGCCCCTGTCTTAAAGAATTGCTTGCAGTTACCCAAGCACAGTAAAGACTTTGGCGTTAGGCAGTTAGGATTCCCTCATTTGTGAGATGTGTGTGTAAGTAGGATCTCTTTCCTCATCTGTAGAATGGGGGTAATAACTAACTCAAGTCTCAGAATTGAATTATTTGTAGATTAAATATATTAAATCATTTTGTAAGTTATTCTGAGGTAAAATATGAATGGATCACCTAAGCATATTGACATATTTAATCAGCATTCAAAAACATTCCTGTTGCTATTATTACTAATTTACTATTTTACCCTCCCCTTTATGACATCAGGAGCCCCCATCTATCATCTGCCTACTCACTTCTAGGTACTGCCTCCACAGCTTTGACAGTAATGTTTATATGTTTTATTTCTTACTGTTAAAACACCCAATAGTCTCACTACTTTGCAATTGTAGAAACCGAGGCTCAGAAAACTCGGGCAATTTCGTATTTGTTTGATCTCCCTGATTTCTTTTAGGTCTTGTTTTTATTTGTATGTGCACATGCCAGTGTGCTTTCACAGGGATACATGTGCCCGTGGAAGCCAGAAGAGGGTGTCAAATTCCCTGGAGCTGGAGGTATAGGCATTTGTAAGCCACCCAATATGGGTGCTGGGAACCAAACGGGTCCCTGAAGAGCAGCAAGTGCTCTTAACCACTGAGCCACCTGTCCAGCCCCATGAGCTCCCTGCTTCGGCTCCTCTAATTTTCACTTGATTTTGGATTCAGTTAATTTTCCATTTCCTGCTGCTTTCTGACCTCCTTAGACTAGCCGTGTCGCCTCTTTTCTCTGCTCCTACATTGAGTCAAAACATTGATTTCAACAGATTTCAGCTTTGTTTTCACTGCTTCTCCTCCACCAGATAAGAGCTTCTTCGATGAAGAATTTTTTCTCATTCTTGTTATGATCCCAGGAGAGTATCTGGGTCAAAGAAGTCTGAGTAAAGAATAATGGGACACTGTCAGGCCTGAGGAGAGGGTTTAGCCAATGGAAGAGGGATTTGTTGAGTAGGCACTGGCATCCTGAAAGCAAAAGGAGGTTTTAGGCGGCACCGTTGCAGTAATGTCAACCAGACATGCCTGGAAGAAGCCTTCAGACCTGTAGTTGGCATGTGAGATGAGACATGTTGAAGTCATCCCAGG